TGACAGGGAATATTATACTCCGATCGGTCAATGTATAATTACAACAAAGTTGCAAGGGGCCTTTAGTTAAGTGATAAAAAAAGACATTCACTTTTGCACCCGAAGTTCTGTATTTGATTTACTCTTTTCAATGGTATAGTATTTCTAAAGAAATAAGATTTAATAAATTATGATGGAATTTTCCGTGAAAAAAAAAAGAAACAAAAAAGAAGTTGTGTAATTGTATAACCAAACCAACCAATCAACCAATCTCCCATGAGGTCTTCCCACTTCAGTTTAAAACCAAAACAATCACGTCATCTAATTTGGTGGTTCCTCTCATCTTAGCTTCAATGTGTGATACCCCAAATTAAGAAAGACTTGCCTAATTTATTTATTAATTTTTCTGATGGATGTTAAATGAAACCAAGATATTGAGTGCTGGAGATGTGGGCAAGTGAAAGCTGAATCCCTAGAATAAGACATTCGTGTCACATCATGCAGATCGTAAAGAATGATGTCACTCTGATTACCTCGTGCTAGATCTGCCAAGTGTCAACGTCGTACACATCCCAGCAAACTTTCAAGGACAATCATTCAGCAATCAAATACACCTTTAAAGGATAATTCATTCAACAATGAAATATACGATTGAAGACTTCCCCCTCCGTAATGGAATTGTTAAATTATTGTTGCGTGTTCTTGATTTATATCGTCAAAACAAAACCATGAGATGAGACAGTGAATTCAACCTTTTCTGCCGAACATTTCTTGACAGCAAACCAAAACATTGACTTCATGATATGACATGAGAACAAGTCGAAGTTGAAATCTAAATCTAATTCACTCCTATCTGGAAGTGATGAGGATCCCCATGAAGTCCACAGAAACAAGTATTAATTATTGCCTCAATTCTGTATTAAATCTGCTCTTAATCATGCGAATCATCAGAGAGTGTGACGTAGCAGAGTTATGTCATCTAGGTGACCTCATTCAAGCTCCATATACAGTGGGCTGGGGAATCTAATCACGCGCCTCATTACGTGGGTCCATGCTGACCTGAATCACACTGACCTGCAAAAACAGTAAATCCACCATTTTTCTCTTTTGTCTGCGTTCATGTTTTTGTGTATTGTAATTAAATTGGACCTTTCATTTCTCTTGCATGGTCTTCTAGCTATACACACAAGTTTCTTCTGGCCATCTGATTTTTTACTCGGTTATTTATGTAAAGCAATTTGAAGTATATATCACAAGCTACACATTTAACTTCTGATAGTGAAGCTTATATAATATGGGTAAAAAAATGACTTTTACATACAATTTGTACACGTTTTCCAAGCTACCGTCTGATGACTTTATGAGAAGCTTCTACAGTTCTCTGTTATTTCTTCTTAGAGTAATAATGTCTCTTCAAATGTTATAAATAGGGAAATGGGGATCAAAACCACAATTCACCAAACCTACCAGTTTAGTTTTTGCAAAACTTCTCTTCAGTCTTGAGCAAAATGGCCACAGCAACAAAGCTACTGCTAACAGACCTCATGTCCGGTGTGAACCATGTCCCCTCAAACTACGTTAGGCCCATCTCTGACCGTCCAAATCTCCGTGATGTTCAGATATCAGATGCCTCCTCCATTCCTCTCATTGATCTCAAGGACCTCCATGGCCACAACCACTCTAATATTATCAAACAGATTGGCCTAGCTTGCCAAACTGATGGTTTCTTTCAGGTATATTAATATATCCCATTATTTCATTGATAATTCTTACACACACTGCATGTTTACATAAATGAATGAGTAAACAAAAATATGGACCAACCCATTTATATTTATCAGGTGAAAAATCATGGGGTGCCAGAGGAAATGATCAAAGACATGTCAAGTATAGCAAGAAAGTTTTTCAAGTTGCCAGAGAGTGAAAGGTTGAAGATGTACTCAGATGACCCTTCAAAGACCACAAGGCTTTCCACTAGTTTCAATGTCAGGACTGAAAAACTTTCCAACTGGAGGGACTTTCTGAGACTCCATTGCTACCCTCTTGAAGATTACTTTCTGAGACTCCATTGCTCCCCTCTTGAAGATTATGTCCAAGAATGGCCTAACAATCCCCCATCATTCAGGTAAAAAAAGGGTTCTTGCCTTCTCTGTCAATTGATCACCATCTTATGCTAATTAATACTCGCAATGAGCTTGTAGCTCAAGTGATTAAGAGTATTTATTCATTCATACGAGGTCATGTGTTTGATTCCCAACTCCCCAATATCGCTTATATCCAACATACATACTCAAACTCATTCACTTCTAATTAATTAAATTTGGGTCACAAAACTGATGATCTGGCACTTTTTTTGTCCACAAGGGAGCAAGTGGGTGAGTATTGCACAAGTGTGAGAGGGCTGGTACTAAGATTGCTTGGGGCCATATCAGAAAGCTTGGGCTTAGAAAAGAACTATATTGTTGAGGCATTAGGCAAGCAAGGCCAGCATATGGCTTTGAATTACTATCCACCCTGTCCAGAACCAGAGCTTACATATGGATTGCCTGGACATACAGATTGTAACCTAATCACCATCCTTCTCCAAGATGATGTGCCTGGATTGCAGGTCCTTAGAAATGGCAAGTGGGTTGCTGTCAACCCCATTCCCAACACTTTTATTGTCAATATTGGTGATATGATGCAGGTAAAAACTTTTTTTTTTTTTTTTTTGGTATCAGGTAATTAGCAATGATAAGTACAAAAGTGTGCTGCACAGAGCTGTGGTTAACTGCAACTCAGAGAGAATATCAATTCCAACCTTCTACTGTCCATCACCTGATGCAGTGGTTGGGCCAGCCAAGGACCTGATCAGCCATGATCAACCAGCCATGTACAGGAACTTCACATATGCTGAATACTTTGAGAAATTCTGGAACAGAGGACTTGCAACTGAATGCTGCTTAGACTTGTTCAAACCCAATTGATGATCATGCATGCGAATGCTGCAATTGTATTATCATTAGCTTTGTTCAACTACCCAAAATGGCCTCAATAAAATTTTGCCTTCTTTTTTGGGTATAATGACAGTTTAGTATCATGTGATTGCATTGGTAAGGCATGTTAGTCCATGTTCTCTCGATTTTTCCTTCAGATCTCCCGTTAGTTGCATACGTTGTACTTAGGGGTGGACATCACATCCAAATTATCTGTGTACCGACCGTATGGTTTGGTTTGGTTAAATAATTATTTTTTTAATTTTAATTATTCCGGGATCGTACCAAGATATTTGGTTTGGTTAACGGAAACAATATTCCTAACCCGACGGAAACCCGTACCGATCCAATATTTATACTTATTCTATTATTTAAATACAAAACAAGAAACCAAAGATAAATACAATTAGCATTTTGTATCACTCCTTTATTAATGTTGTATCACTTCTTTATCACCCCAGTACTGTAGCACTTTTTGGTCAGAGAGGAATTTATGAATTTCCTATGTTTTCTAGTTTCGACATTTCTCCCGTTTTTTACCTGTAACCTTCTAACTGTTGATCCAAATTTTATGTTCTTTATCTGATTGGATTCAGCATAAAAAACTAAAGAACCTAACATGAAAAAAAAATTAAAATCATTTACATAAATGTAGAGAATTCAGTAAAAAAAAAAAACACTCAAATGTTCAAACAACAAACACAAGTGGCTCCCAGTACATCTTGAGCATATATTGAATGGTATAGTGACTAAGTTATTTAATTCCATACTTGGATGAATTAGACTATTGGATTTTTATATTTTACAAGGATAATTTGGTGTATTTGTTCAAGAACTTGTGTTATGTGAAAGTATTGTAAATTGTATTTTTATTATTATGTTTTTATTACGTTACTACCGGCGTACCGAACCAATCCGAACCAAATATTAGGTTAACTGATCCGAAGCCTACCGAAGTTTTCGGTTTGGTTAACGGAAGAGAAAATGGTCTACCGAAGTTTTTAGTTTGATTAACAAAAAAGCTTTCTACCGTTCTGAATCGATCTGTGCCCATGCCTACTTGTACTTATGGGTCCTACCACTACTACAAAAAGTGACAAAGACGACCAGAAAAAAACGACGGTCTAAGTGAAAACCGTCGTTGTTTTTTAAAAGACGACGGTTCTATAAAACCGCCGTGTAATAACACCTTAGACACCTAAAAAATGGAGATTCAAATGGTTGTTCATAAACAACGACGTACCTAATTAAAAAACCGACGTCTATTTGAAACAGGATTTCCGCAGTGTAAAATCAAAGCAAATAAAGAACGGCAGAAGTTATGAATCGACCGACGTAGAAAGTAAAGACG